ATAGATGCTGGAGTCAGCCAGGCTCAGGGTGAGAACCCAGGCCTGGCCAGGCTGCTACTGCTTCTGTCTTTGAAGAAGTGTAATCCTGGCTTCTGTCACTGTCCCGGGCTCCTCCAGTCAGTGGTACTACCTCTTGCTCAGACTAGCATCAGCCATACCTCCCTGTGTGCCTCAGAGCGCACTGTGCTTCTTCCTGCCGTTGCCAAGTGACAGAGGCATCAAAACCACTTTTTCCGAGCATGCGGGTGCGGCGCTCCAAGCCCCCCCGGGCTTTCCGGGGGGAACCGGGGCTGCAAAACCCCCAGGCAGCAAGGAAACTGTTCCCCAAGGAATCAGAACGCTCTTGCTTTGTTGTCGTCGTTTTTGCTGTACCAAGCAAAATTTAAAAAGGCAACATTTATTTCAGATTCTCTACAGTCACGTCATGAGAAGAAAAGAAGGTGTTTCGGTAGCATTTAGGGATTAGACAAAATTAGATGCTGGGAGTCAGCCCAGCTCAGGGTGTGAACCCAGGCCTGGCCAGGCTGCTACTGCTTCTGTCTTTGCTAAGAAGTGTAATCCTGGCTTCTGTCACTGTCCCGGGCTCCTCCAGTCAGTGGTACTACCTCTTGCTCAGACTAGCATCAGCCATACCTCCCTGTGTGCCTCAGAGCGCACTGTGCTTCTTCCTGCCGTTGCCAAGTGACAGAGGCATCAAAACCACTTTTTCCGAGCAGTGCCAGAAAAAGTGAGCTTCCCTCTTCCCAGCCCCATCTCTGGGGTGAACTGGAAGGATCCTGCAGTCCAGCCCAGCACATGGCCCAGCTTCAAAGAGGAGCAAAGATAGCTCCATCCCTACGGCATTAAGGCTGGGGCAAGCTTGGAGGGACACTAGGCAGGTTGATCTCTCCATCACCATCAGAAGGTTGAAACCAAATTTCACATGCTGTAACCACTCAGCTGTGGCGAAGTGGCCTGTCCCACCCTGACGGCCACCCTTCCCTCTTTCATTGGTCACATGTCAAAGAAGAGACACGGGCTTCTCCCTGCAAAGAGTGTTCTTGGCACTGGATCTGGGTGGCAAGGACTAGCTTGGATCAGTTGCCTGAGCCCTGGATTACAGTGCTGGGCATTTGCCATTGCCAGGAGGTGAATTTGCCTTTTTCCTGGTGACCATGGTAATTAGTTGCCTAAACCCCAGGCATTAGAGCTCTTGTTAATAAGTCCCTAAATCGTTTCTTTGCTGCAGCACTTAAAGTGGTTGTATTGCAGTCAAAGTGAGAGATTGCCATTTACTTTGGAGCAAGAAGAACAGATTCCATTCCAGCTCCCATGTAAATCTGAATTTATAAAGAAACACTGTCCTCAAGGTGACCAAACTCTGGCTGCGACTGGTAAGAGGAAGAACACCTCAGCATGGGGCTGTGGGAGGTGACGTGCTGTGCCATTTCTTACCTCTGCTGCAAGCGGCCCTGCACCCACCTCACTGTTTCTCATCCGTTCAGTGGGTGAGCGTGGGTCCAGTGCACTGTATGCTTTGCATCCTACTGACATTTTTTCTCAACATCGTAGTGTAAGTGGGATTGCTTCCTGGCTGCTAGCGGGCAGTACAGAGGAAGGAGCACATTTTCACTATCGTGAGCTGCAGATTCACAGTTTAAGGCATGAGCTCAGGAATTACAAGTCCCGGTACTTTTTTTACTTATGCTGTAAGAAAACATTAATTTCTTTTTTTTTCCCCATTCTCTTTGGTCTTCAGGAGTTCTGTTGCTATTAGACAGGAGAGAAAGAAAAATCTGTTTTAGATGTTTTGTTCTGTTGTGGTAGTACCAGCTGGTCCGCCTGTACTACGTGCTGTACAACCAGGATATTTACAGTTTTGGCTTACTATTGCATCTGTTACAGCCTGAGTATTATTTTGACTGTATGCAATGAACATTCACCCAATTTTCTAGGCTCTGATCCTATGTGACCTTGATTAGTCCCTTACAATCAAGCATAGCTTGGGTGAAGCATTTTATCACACCAATGAATTAGTGTGGTTCAAAATGCAGGCAATGGATGATCAGGCCCTTGGTCTGGTATATTCGACAAATTGCCCCCCGCCTACCTCTTTATTTACTCTTCTCGCTTCTTTTGTTTCTAGAAGCACAGAAGTTCAGAATTGCTCTTAGATAGTGCATGTTTCTTTATTCCCAGTTCTGGGGACTTAATTCAGATGCAGGTCCTGCTGAAGCCAGTCCCAAATTCCTGAGTCAAAGTTAGTTTTCTTAGGCATCGAAGACTGAATCACTGAAAACGTACACCACCTAAAATGAACTATTTCTGAGGCCTAGAAAACCCTACTTGATGTAAGATGTGGAAGAGAAAAGGAGTTGAAGGGGCAGAAGTGGGTGGGTTTGGGATTAAGGGAAAGGAATTCGGGCCTAATCTGTTAAAAATCCTGATTGATTTGACAGGAATGCCAGACGCAGGGGGCTGTGGGGATTCAGTACCTCTGCGACTCTGAATGAAGGTGCTTTATGTATGTGGACAAGAGTCCTTGTTGTGGAGGTAAAAGTTTGATAAAGGAGGAGGAATTACACGGCCTGGAGAGTCTTCATTTGCCCTTTGAGGGCAAATTTTTCTCTCTCTGCCACAGTCCTCCCTTTTCCAAGAAAACCCCTTAACCCCTAAGAGATTTTTTGCAAGTGTTAAAAATTACTTACCTAAATAAGGGTTTGCAGACTCAGTTCTCAGTTTTTCTTCTAACTATGGCAGCCGTTGGCTTCCCTTTTGGACACTGGCAAGGTGCTCATAAATCCTTATGAGCAGCAACTGGAATCTCTCAAAGACTTGACCTTGTCCCGTTTTCTTCCTTAGTTCTTCCTTTTGCAGCTTTCCATGGAGAGCCCTCCCACACTGGGTTTCTCGGTCTCTTTCCCATAACTGGGACTATGTATCTTTTCCTCCTCTCTCTTAATTTTACAAAATCTCAAGGTGGATTATATGACAGTTGAGCAATGTTTTATCCTGGGATTGCTTCAGTACAGAGCTTGTACAAATTGTTTACAATTTATAGTGATCCAAGCCATTCTTCATTAAATAATCCCTTGGAAATATTGTTTCTGATTGTCTGTTTCTGAGTGTTGCACAATACTATATACAATGAATAAATAAGCAGTGTAACTGTAAAACACAAAGCACTTGGAAACTTAAACTAATGCAATATCCTATTGTTTCAGGCTGCTTAAAATTGTACAGGCGTTCTTATGTACCTCTGGAGTTTGACTCTAGTCTCAACAATACTGCTCTAAGTCAGGAAAATCACCGTTAAAACAATCAGATTACAATCAGAATTAGAACCAGTAAGCCTCCGCGTTTACAACAGCTTGCTCAGATTATGTTTACACTGCAATCCAGCACGATGCCGAGTTACCACTATGCTTCAAGTATCCAGGAGCAGAAGATCAGCATCAGCCGTTCAGTCCAGACACAGTGCCACCCCGGGGCAGCCGGCTCTGCAGCCACCATCTGCGCTTGCTGCTCTGCACCATATAGATGTGCCTGCTTGCTCAGGCTTATCTACACGATACTGAATTGCTCGGTGTTAAAACTCACCTGAGACTGGGGTACCACGAGTGTGGATGATAATGAGATCATGTCTGATGCAGGTTCCTGGTTTTGCTCAGTTTGGCAGCTTTCTTGTGATGCCAAGCATGAGATGCAAGCAAAATACAAGGAGCCCCATCCTCAGTGCTGCTCAGAGTGCCAGGCTTGCATAGGAGCCAGCTGTAGCTCCATGATTCAGGGTTATATATTTAGGCCACTCACTGTGGCCTAAAATAAAGCATTTGTGGTATGCTTTTTAAAGCATATGTA